TTTAAACTAAATACACAGTATTTGAAAAGATGGGAAAATATATCACACTTAACAGCCTCTCACAGATTAACCTGAAAGCACTGGCTAAACTCAAAACAGAAGCAAGGCCACGCTGCCACTGACCTCCGCTGCTAGGGGTGAAGTGGGCTTCCGGCTGATGAGGCTAACGGCGGCCAAGGACGGGGCTGTGTATTGTTTAATATGGCAAGGTGGACAATGAATCACGGAGATTATTCCATTTTGGATCTTGCAATGGAATATTAGCCTTGGCTGAATGTCGATGCAAACACCAATGTGGTTGATCGTGATATTATGTCAATGTCAATCAAATCGGATGGTGTTGGTCCGATTTCCAATTTGAAAATCAGATTCCCAAATTGAAACTTATTTTTAACAACAACAATATACATATAAAAAAATCAAATATGATCAAATAATTGTAGCCTTATTAAGCGTAACAGACTTCTTTCAAAAACATAAAATTATGCAGTCTTCGTCTCGCCTTAAACAAGATTTTTTAATACTGTTTTACTTTGACCGTTAATTAAACCTAGAATCGTTAAATGTGTCTGGTCATCTTATATTCCATCACGCTGCCCCCCCCACCGAGGATGGAGCGGTGGGCCGGGCACTCTCAGAACATTTCTCATTTAGTTTTTTCCTCTCCCTCAGATAGCACATACATGCTCCGTATTGTTTATGTGTTCCTGTGGAGGCATGTACAGTAGCGGAGATAGGATCAGAATCTCAGGCATTTAAAGCGAAAGTAAATAGTGGAGAAGAAGAGGTAGGGCTCACAGCAGTGTGAAGAGGTTAAGGAGAGGCTGCTATGACATGAGGGATGCCTAACTGAGAACGTAATTGTCAAAACTATCACCCGGCCAGCCAGTCTGTATTACAGAAAGACAGCGGAGATTGAGACCATGGAGAGGGATTGAGACATGTCGTAGACTGGTCTAAAACCTGCTTTGGTCATGTAAGGCATAGATGCGCTATAACTGCTGAACCCACAGATCCAACCAACAAATCTATTTTAATAAGCAAATTGTGTACCATCTGCTACAGATTAACCTGAAGCTTCATGCATATATTTTCATGAGGGGGCACCAGTTAGCATTCCTAACTCATTTGCTGCCCTAGGCAAGATGAGACATAAAAATAAATAAAAAACACTGCAATGAGACACTGGGTTCAAATTCTGACATGATATACTAATGTTTAAAAGTTTGGGATCAGTAGGACGTTTTAATGTTTTTCAAAGAAGTCTCCTATGCTTATTAAGGCTGCACTTATTTGATCAAAAGTACAGTAAAAACAGTAATATTATTAAAATATGATTAAATTTTAAATAAATATGTTTTAAAATTAAATTTATTCCTGTGATGCAAAGCTTAAGTTTTAGCATCGTTACTCCAGTCTTCAGTCACATGATCCTTCAGAAATCATTCTTATTTGCCGATTTGCTGCTCAAGAAACATTTATTATTATCATTAATGTTGAAAACAGTTGTGCTTTTTGTGGAAACTGTCATACATTGTTTCCAGGATTCTTTGATGAATAAAAAGAACAGCATTTATTTGAAATAGATATTTTTGCAACAACGTAAATGTCTTTACTGTCACTTTAAAGCATCCTTGCTAAAGAAGTTTAATTTTCTAAAAAAAAAGACCTTACCCTAAATTTGTATATATATATATATATAAAAAAATTTGACAGACCAGCTTATTAATGTGCAATGTTTTAGATTTACCGGTTTTACTTTATAAGCCTGTTTAACTTAATTTTCAAAGGCAAATATCTGTGTCCCCTCAGTTTAAATGGAAAGAATCTGCCATATCCAACATATTTTTAAGCTATGTTGGTAACTGGCCTGCGACAAGGGAAGGCGGTAGTACTAGTCCATCCAAATAGCATTTGACAAGTCAGTGACCAAGATTTGCATTTAGACATGCAGCCAGTGTTTTTGGCAATGTTTCCATACTGGCTCCATTGGTGTACACAGCTTTGACCACTTAAATAAATGTAATATCAGACAGCTACTTTTGAATTTCCAAACGTGGCAAGTTTTGTAACCCTTAAAAGAGAAGTGAGTTTTTTTTCTGTATCACAATAATAAATAAATAACTTTTTTCAAACGATTTCACAGATTTCTCAAACATTGGTCAGAAACAGTAACGCCCCAGTCTTGGTTTATGATCTAATGTTGCTGTATCAGACAACGTTTAATAGCAAATGGTACGAAGATTATTCCATTTTGGATCTTGCAATGGAATATTAGCCTTGGCTGAATGTCGATGCAAACACCAATGTGGTTGATCGTGATATTATGTCAATGTCAATCAAATCGGATGGTGTTGGTCCGATTTCCAATTTGAAAATCAGATTCCCAAATTGAAACTTATTTTTAACAACAACAATATACATATAAAAAAATCAAATATGATCAAATAATTGTAGCCTTAGTGAGCGTAACAGACTTCTTTCAAAAACATAAAATTATGCAGTCTTCGTCTCGCCTTAAACAAGATTTTTTAATACTGTTTTACTTTGACCGTTAATTAAACCTAGAATCGTTAAATGTGTCTGGTCATCTTATATTCCATCACGCTGCCCCCCCCACCGAGGATGGAGCGGTGGGCCGGGCACTCTCAGAACATTTCTCATTTAGTTTTTTCCTCTCCCTCAGATAGCACATACATGCTCCGTATTGTTTATGTGTTCCTGTGGAGGCATGTACAGTAGCGGAGATAGGATCAGAATCTCAGGCATTTAAAGCGAAAGTAAATAGTGGAGAAGAAGAGGTAGGGCTCACAGCAGTGTGAAGAGGTTAAGGAGAGGCTGCTATGACATGAGGGATGCCTAACTGAGAACGTAATTGTCAAAACTATCACCCGGCCAGCCAGTCTGTATTACAGAAAGACAGCGGAGATTGAGACCATGGAGAGGGATTGAGACATGTCGTAGACTGGTCTAAAACCTGCTTTGGTCATGTAAGGCATAGATGCGCTATAACTGCTGAACCCACAGATCCAACCAACAAATCTATTTTAATAAGCAAATTGTGTACCATCTGCTACAGATTAACCTGAAGCTTCATGCATATATTTTCATGAGGGGGCACCAGTTAGCATTCCTAACTCATTTGCTGCCCTAGGCAAGATGAGACATAAAAATAAATAAAAAACACTGCAATGAGACACTGGGTTCAAATTCTGACATGATATACTAATGTTTAAAAGTTTGGGATCAGTAGGACGTTTTAATGTTTTTCAAAGAAGTCTCCTATGCTTATTAAGGCTGCACTTATTTGATCAAAAGTACAGTAAAAACAGTAATATTATTAAAATTATTATAAATATGATTAAATTTTAAATAAATATGTTTTAAAATTAAATTTATTCCTGTGATGCAAAGCTTAAGTTTTAGCATCGTTACTCCAGTCTTCAGTCACATGATCCTTCAGAAATCATTCTTATTTGCCGATTTGCTGCTCAAGAAACATTTATTATTATCATTAATGTTGAAAACAGTTGTGCTTTTTGTGGAAACTGTCATACATTGTTTCCAGGATTCTTTGATGAATAAAAAGAACAGCATTTATTTGAAATAGATATTTTTGCAACAACGTAAATGTCTTTACTGTCACTTTAAAGCATCCTTGCTAAAGAAGTTTAATTTTCTAAAAAAAAAGACCTTACCCTAAATTTGTATATATATATATATATAAAAAAATTTGACAGACCAGCTTATTAATGTGCAATGTTTTAGATTTACCGGTTTTACTTTATAAGCCTGTTTAACTTAATTTTCAAAGGCAAATATCTGTGTCCCCTCAGTTTAAATGGAAAGAATCTGCCATATCCAACATATTTTTAAGCTATGTTGGTAACTGGCCTGCGACAAGGGAAGGCGGTAGTACTAGTCCATCCAAATAGCATTTGACAAGTCAGTGACCAAGATTTGCATTTAGACATGCAGCCAGTGTTTTTGGCAATGTTTCCATACTGGCTCCATTGGTGTACACAGCTTTGACCACTTAAATAAATGTAATATCAGACAGCTACTTTTGAATTTCCAAACGTGGCAAGTTTTGTAACCCTTAAAAGAGAAGTGAGTTTTTTTTCTGTATCACAATAATAAATAAATAACTTTTTTCAAACGATTTCACAGATTTCTCAAACATTGGTCAGAAACAGTAACGCCCCAGTCTTGGTTTATGATCTAATTGTTTTACTTTATAAGCCTGTTTAACTTAATTTTCAAAGGCAAATATCTGTGTCCCCTCAGTTTAAATGGAAAGAATCTGCCATATCCAACATATTTTTAAGCTATGTTGGTAACTGGCCTGCGACAAGGGAAGGCGGTAGTACTAGTCCATCCAAATAGCATTTGACAAGTTAATGCCTTTTACAAGCCAGTGACCAAGATTTGCATTTAGCCATGCAGCCAGTGTTTTTGGCAATGTTTCCATACTGGCTCCATTGGTGTACACAGCTTTGACCACTTAAATAAATGTAATATCAGACAGCTACTTTTGAATTTCCAAACGTGGCAAGTTTTGTAACCCTTAAAAGAGAAGTGAGTTTTTTTTCTGTATCACAATAATAAATAAATAACTTTTTTCAAACGATTTCACAGATTTCTCAAACATTGGTCAGAAACAGTAACGCCCCAGTCTTGGTTTATGATCTAATGTTGCTGTATCAGACAACGTTTAATAGCAAATGGTTACCTCATCGTTGTCTCTTCAGATTAAATGAAAACTATGAAAAGTCAATGGAGACCAGCAACTGTTTTGAAGAACCCACATTCTTCAAAATATCTTCTTTTGTGCTCAACAGAAGAACAGGTTTAGAACAATTTGAGGGTGAGAAAATGATGAAAAAATTTAAATTTTTGGGTGAGCTATCCCTTTTAGCTGGGACAAGAGAAAGCGATGTAGTAAACATTGAAAAAAAAATACATGCTTCAATCTGATCTTTTTTACTTTTTTTCTCCAGCTGTAACCTACAGGGGCAGGATGGCTGAAAGTTTCTAGCATGGCTGAAAGAAAAGGACGCTGATGAAGAAACTGACAAAAGGACTGACCTACGTCACAGTTGGCTGGACTTCCCCAGCAGAGACCACAAGGGCCCAGCAAAACATCCAAAAGCTCACACAGGTTTAGAACAATTTGAGGGTGAGAAAATGATGACAAAATTTAAATTTTTGGGTGAGCTATCCCTTTTAGCTGGGACAAGAGAAAGTGATGTAGTAAACATTGAAAAAAAATACATGCTTCAATCTGATCTTTTTTACTTTTTTTCTCCAGCTGTAACCTACAGGGGCAGGATGGCTGAAAGTTTCTAGCATGGCTGAAAGAAAAGGACGCTGATGAAGAAACTGACAAAAGGACTGACCTACGTCAAAGTTGGCTGGACTTCCCCAGCAGAGACCACAAGGGCCCAGCAAAACATCCATGAAGCCATCAGGGGAACCAGCTCCAAAAATGAAAGACAAAGGAGTGAAAAGATATAACCACAGAGAGACAAGCGCAGAGAGAAATTACTCACAAACAGCCCATCTATGGAGAGAACGACTGAACTGGTACTGCTCATGGAGGAGTGTAATTCAGAGCGATCCGAAACTGCTTACATTCTATCAAGCCGCGGAGATCTGGCGCGATCCACTTCAGCCCGGTTTGGTCTGGTTTTTTGGCAAAAAAACGAACCAGACCTATGTGTCCTCCGACATGTGTTTTAGTGCTATGTTCAGAGAATGGGCTTCTTTAAATACATGGACACAATAACTCTGAATAGACTCTTTAAGCACAGTGTGTTTTTTATATAAAAAGTTTAGATTTTGTACAATATCATATGCTAAATTATTATTATTTATTTTACTCCCCACATTTTAGCTGTGAATGTGTAAAATGCTTGCAACATTAATATATCTGTGTTGTACAGGTTAACACTTCAGTAGTCCACTGATTTTTTTTTTTTTCCCCCAGTGCAGCCAACTCAATATAAGCTAGAAGATTTCCTGCTCTAAAATCCATCTCCACTCCTGAGAATGTGCTTCACAAATTTGAATGGGAGCGTTTGAATTTGGTTGCTGTGCAATTGAGTGTAAACTGTGTAAAACTGAAAACAGACAATGAGAGGAAGGCCAATTCTTCATTCACTTAGAAAAAAAAAAAGGATGCACTGATATTAAAATTTTGGTCGATACCAATAATAATTTTCATGGTACAGCCAATGACCAATGAATATAGCTGATGTTGCTATTCCACACTATTTTGTTTTAAGAAATACATTTGTTAAAGATTACAATTACTATGATTAATTACTATCATTTAATTTTTTTCTCAAACAGTGATTAGGTAATCTTGAAGATGAACTTAAAGTGTCAGATGATACAAAGGTAATCAAGTATGCACAATTACACTGAATTTTTTTAAAAAAAATTGTATGAACTATTTTCACACAGAAATTGCTAGTCAATTTCAGTTAATTATAAAGAAACAGCAATTAAACATGACATTTTCTCGTAAAATGTACTCTAGTAATCCATTATATTTAAATGTTTAATTTTGAAATATCACTTTTTACAGTGTATATATCCAATATTGAGGTGTACCAATAAATAAAGAAAAATATCTAATATTATCCAATAAGTTATATACTGTATCAAGCATCACTATTCAAAAATGATCTTTTACTTCGACATTCATCAGATTTATCTGTTTTGCTGGCTCATGTTCAATGCTGCTATTTTATTTTATTTATTTTTTATAAATGTTTTTGTTTGTTTTTTAGTTTCTTGTAAATTTAAAGAAAGCATTACACTCCTTCAGCCATTGCAATTTACAGGACTCTACGCACAATATTGTTTTTATTACAACATAAGCAAGCACCTGAACCTCATATTCTAGAATATATTTTTGACATAGTGGCCGAGAGGGAACACATTCAACAATTTGTTCTATAATATGACTTGCTATGCTTAATGTGATACTTGCCCAAAAAAAAAAAAAAAAAGTAGTTTTGAAATTTTTTCCAGATTGCACTGATCACAATGCCATCTCATAAGTCGAAACAGACCACTTCCTCTTTCACTGAATTTCCTCTGTAACGGTGTGAATTACAGTCTATCAAAAAGCTTTTCTAGCAAGGATTGGACAGTTGTGACAAATTTAGCACTATAATACATCTGATGATGGAGTCCGGATGTTATGATAACAGGACAAATGAATATATCTGTGTTGTACAGGTTAACACTTCAGTAGTCCACTGATTTTTTTTTTTCCCCCAGTGCAGCCAACTCAATATAAGCTAGAAGATTTCCTGCTCTAAAATCCATCTCCACTCCTGAGAATGTGCTTCACAAATTTGAATGGGAGCGTTTGAATTTGGTTGCTGTGTAATTGAGTGTAAACTGTGTAAAACTGAAAACAGACAATGAGAGGAAGGCCAATTCTTCATTCACTTAGAAAAAAAAAAGGATGCACTGATATTAAAATTTTGGTCGATACCAATAATAATTTTCATGGTACAGCCAATGACCAATGAATATAGCTGATGTTGCTATTCCACACTATTTTGTTTTAAGAAATACATTTGTTAAAGATTACAATTACTATGATTAATTACTATCATTTAATTTTTTTCTCAAACAGTGATTAGGTAATCTTGAAGATGAACTTAAAGTGTCAGATGATACAAAGGTAATCAAGTATGCACAATTACACTGAATTTTTTTAAAAAAAATTGTATGAACTATTTTCACACAGAAATTGCTAGTCAATTTCAGTTAATTATAAAGAAACAGCAATTAAACATGACATTTTCTCGTAAAATGTACTCTAGTAATCCATTATATTTAAATGTTTAATTTTGAAATATCACTTTTTACAGTGTATATATCCAATATTGAGGTGTACCAATAAATAAAGAAAAATATCTAATATTATCCAATAAGTTATATACTGTATCAAGCATCACTATTCAAAAATGATCTTTTACTTCGACATTCATCAGATTTATCTGTTTTGCTGGCTCATGTTCAATGCTGCTATTTTATTTTATTTATTTTTTATAAATGTTTTTGTTTGTTTTTTAGTTTCTTGTAAATTTAAAGAAAGCATTACACTCCTTCAGCCATTGCAATTTACAGGACTCTACGCACAATATTGTTTTTATTACAACATAAGCAAGCACCTGAACCTCATATTCTAGAATATATTTTTGACATAGTGGCCGAGAGGGAACACATTCAACAATTTGTTCTATAATATGACTTGCTATGCTTAATGTGATACTTGCCCAAAAAAAAAAAAAAAAAAGAAGTTTTGAAATTTTTTCCAGATTGCACTGATCACAATGCCATCTCATAAGTCGAAACAGACCACTTCCTCTTTCACTGAATTTCCTCTGTAACGGTGTGAATTACAGTCTATCAAAAAGCTTTTCTAGCAAGGATTGGACAGTTGTGACAAATTTAGCACTATAATACATCTGATGATGGAGTCCGGATGTTATGATAACAGGACAAATGAGAAGAGGATTTTAGGTACATTTCTTTTTTCAGGTTTTTGATCAGTTACAGTGATCAATATAAATGTAATATTTAAGTGAGAATGCAAAGGATAACCAAAAATGAAATGTCAGATTAATGCTAATTGATATTAAAAACATTTTAAGCAATCAAATCTTTAAGAATTCAGTCTACCTTTCAAGCTCTGTACATAAAAACCTGCTAAATGTATGCAATTATATGTATGTGGGGCAAAAGAATGTTTGAGCTGACAAAAAATGCTCAAAATTATCAAAATGCTCAACCATTTAATCTATTAAAAAATATAACATTCTTTATGTGGGTCTCAGAATGAGTGAGGTATACAGTTAAGATGGTTTAGATTTAAATTCATCGCATCAAAATGACAAGGCAATGTGTTCATCACTGATGCAGATTTAGAATAGGCCTAGTTATTTAAATGTGCACTTAATCGCGTCTCCCCCTTTAAAAAAAGAAATAAATCACTTTTAAAATTTGTTTAAAGTCATGTGCACTTACATGAATACTCCAGTCATCCCTAATGAAAAATAAGTGCACTTTATTGTATTGAATGTGCACTTGTAGTGTACTTCAAATCTTAAAAGTACATTTTTTTTAAATCTACTTGTAGTAAAAGGTCACTAGTTAAATGTACTTTAGGTCCACTTTCATGACTGTTTCTTAACACACTTAAGTACTTTTTCTGCATCCAATTAAGTGTCCAAACACATTACATTCATTTCACACTTACAGTATATTACAAGTATATTGCACAATTGTTTTAAAAGTACAGTATGCTAAAGTGTACTTCTTTTTCACAGGGGATATCAGTAGCCTAATAAAAGCAGTTTTATTTTACATGTATTGGGGGCCAACATGTTGAGATCACAAAACCAGCCAACTTACTTTACTTGGTCAATTCCTTCCGACGGCCTTTAAAATCTGTAACTTATGCTATTATGCATCCACACCACTAGATGTCAGTATAAGTCTTTATAATCAGCACAACATAAGCAATGATTAAGTATATCATACCTAAAATTATTTACAGCTCACCAGACAGATACAGAGTATGCGTGCATGAGCGTTTATTTGCCAGCTCATTTGGTGAAAGCAACAAACCAGGATGTAACAACACCCTTATCTCTCCAGCTCTACTGGCTAGAAACAATTAAACGAGAACCCTCATTATCAGCACAATATGAGCGAACAACCAAAACAAATGTGGATACAGGGCAAGGCTAAACAATAACCTTACAGCATTCACAAGGAAAAATGTCAAAAATTTAGACTGGCACGACGCATTTGACGATACTTCAACACCAGCACTGTACCTCCTCTCAGTCAACGGTCTGCACTAAGCATTGGAAGGAAAGAAAAAGAAAAAAGCTATTCATCTCAGCAGATACTGATCTCCAAACCTCTCAAAGCCATAATAAACAGCATCATGTCAGGAGGGAAGATGAGTTTTCCTAAAGAGGTATATCAGATCATGGCTGAAGAGGAACGGAGTGGCTCAGAATCTCTAAAACAAATAAATGGTGGATTGACGGGGATTCAAGATTCAACTAAGGGCATCAGTGTGCACA